AAAATCTGGGCTGAAATGACTGCTGGGGCAGTGACGATGTTGTCTCTGGCCGGTGACTGGGACAGCCATTGCCTCTTCCCACTGCCAGCCCACCCAGGTGGTGCAACCCTCTCCTTGGCTCCCTGCTTTCCTCCCTCTCGCCCCAGTATCCTCAGCTAAAAGTCCTTCTCTGAGCCTTCGGGGAGGAAAGATTTATTTTTCCCCTTACAGCAGTGAACTGGGTCTGAGACGCTGAATTCTTGCTTCTGCCTCAGATTTCCTGTGTGACCTGGAGCACAGTAGTTAATGACTTGACAGTTCAGTTGTCCGTCTGTAATATTTTCCTTCCCTCTGACGAATGTTATAGAAATAAATTCTGTAGTACACGCAAAGTGTCACACCTCTGTGATGAATGGGATGGGGGGGCAGATTTTGTAAGTCTTGATAGATAATAAATTTATTTTTATAACTGTACCTCTTGAAAGGTAATTTTTTCATGAAATCCATGGCTTCTGTAGTTTTGGGGCATTGGTACAACTTTTTGGTTAGGAATTCATCAGGCCGTGAATCATTTTGCCTGCACTGACCTTCCTTTGGAGGCTGTTTCTGACCTCACGAACGCCGCCTTGTGTGAGACATGACAAGCTGATAGGTTGTGATGACGCATTCGCAGTTGCCCACTGGTCTTGATGTGACATGTGGATGCATGCGTTCATGTCCCAGTGTTTATCAAAAACTTTGTCTATGACTCATTCTTACGAGCAGATACTGGAGCTTGGCATTTATTTCAAAACAGCTCCGCAGAGTGAAGAGGAACCACGGATATCAGGACTGAGAGACAAACGGGTAAAGCGGGGCTGTGTTGGTGTGATGCCTTTGTTGTTTTGGAGACTGATTTTTTTCATCAGCTACACCCACGAGCATGCACACGAGAAGCTGGTTTACTTTTCATGTCATCACCTTTGTGCAGATCTGAGAAAATAAACTTCTCTGGGGTATTCACCTCCTGTGTGCTGTATTGACCCAGCTACAGTCAGTGTTCAAGCACAGAACGGCAGCTTTATGGTCTCATCACTTCATCGCATCCTACACAAGTGGGGAAGAAAAAGACACTTCTAAAAAATCTGATCTATTTAGGGAAATGATACTAGCACTTTGTTTTTATGAAGACAGGAGGGAAACCCAGGAGACTTTGGCTCTGGTCATGCTGCGTCTGAGTCAGTGACAGCGGTGATCATTCGCTTGATTGGCGCAGCAGGACTATTTTTTTACTTCCAGGTATTTCACCGTTGGTCAACAGAAACATCTTACTAAGTGATTCTTTGAAATGGGATAAATATGTTTTCTTCCACTGCTTGCTTTTTGTTTGTAGCTGGTACATCAAAATGGCTGTATGAGTGGCATCACCATGCAAACAACTCACCTTTATGTACAGCTGGCTTGTGGTTCCAGTGGGCTTACTGCAGCGGAAACACTTGGCAGTCTTTAACACTATTACTTCACGGGAATTTTATTTAAAGAAAGGGAGGAGAAGTTTCACATTGGGTTTGCCTTAACGTAGACTGTTATAGTGAGTACGTAGGTAGTATCTGTAAAACCACCCAGCTCTAGAGAGGTGTGTCTGGGAGCGTAAGTGAGAGGGAACGTGCTGATGTTGACGATAAAATGTTTGACTTCTGGTGCCAGCAGGACAGCATTTTCCAAGAGGTTGTGATTACTTTACAGACCAGGCATAGCCTAAAACTAGGACCCTGATCATGCAAGCATCTTTGTGGCTAAGGGAACCCCTACTAGACACACTGTAACGTGCATAAGGACTTGTAGGGTCAGGGCCTCAGTTTGCCATAGCTCTGCCTCAGAGAAAATAAGTAGAGCTTGTCTCTTGGCTGATTTTTATGAAATAACAGAAGTAGCCTGGTTATAAAAGCTTCTAGCATCCCGTTGCTAGGCATTTAGTGCCCACTGATGTACAAACCTATTGGCATTAGTGCATAGGTACCTCTACATTTTAACCGCAATTCGCTTTCAATAATCCAACTTCCTTTAGATTTTTATCTGCATTCAGAATTTTTTTTAACGTAGCAATGACATGAGGACTCTTTCCAATGTATTTTTGAAACTATAAAATGAAATCCCCTGAATGCCTGCTAAGCTTAATAGAAACTTGTAAGAGGTCAAAAATATTATTCAGTGTATGAAATATACTGAATGTAAAAAGCCAGCAGACAAACTTTGGATGCTGCAAGTTAAATCATCACGACTGCCATTATTGCAGTACATCCTGCGTGACTTACTAATGACTAGCCATTAAGTTTAACATGTTAATGAAACTTAAGGATTGAGAAGGCCATAATGAAATATGGGCTAAATTCTCTCACACTAAAACTTCTGTCGCATCTAAAGGCAGTGTATGTCCAGTATGACAGCAAACTAACTTCCGTGCAAATAAAGATTGCAGAATGTGATTCTATAAAAATAATGACCATGTTCCAAGAAAATTCCTAGATGACACTAAAAAGGATGGAGGTGGGATGCAGTATTTCTACAAATCACGTCCCGTACATGTCAGTGCCAATGAACTCTAAAATCAGTCTCCAAAATGCTGTCCGTATGTTTTCTGAAATCTAAGCCTGCCATTGATACACACGGTACATCTCAGTGATTTCCGTGGATGCTCTGCTCTGAGCTGACTCACGGCAGCCTGGTGAGCTCATCCCACCTCCACGGGCTAAATCCCCTTCAGTAATGGTGCGGCAAAAATGGTCATGAGTGGACGCCTTGCCACAGCCCGAAAATCCCCCAGCACTCAGCAATTAAACAGGAGGAAACGCAAGTTTAGAAAACAATTTTATTAGACAAATTATTTAGACAAATTATACACAGAAAGCTCTGCCACTTGTAACTGAGGCCTCCAAAAAGTGTTTTGTGTATCTGTATAATAGGCAACACATCAAAATAGGCCTATTTTAAATATTGTACATGGTTAACAGGTTGGGTTTTTTTTTTTAATAGCTAAAATCACTGCAACATCTGGTATGTCCCTACATAGCTTGTTGGAAAGAAATTTTCTTTTTTTTCTTTTTTTTTTTTTTTATTTTACTCAGAAGTGTGGATGAGTTCATGAATGTTACAAGGGGGAAGCAAGTTGTGCATGCTTTTAGACACTTGCTACCCTGGAAACAAAATGGCCTTTTGCACGTTAAGAATTTGTTCTGCCTTACACAGTAGACAATATTTGAAGATTTAGTACAAAAAACAGTGACAGTACAAGATGCTCCCCCAGAACAGAATTAGCATCAAAATAGAATAGATCTGAAGAATATACCTTTTAATTTATCCTAAAGCAAATCACGTAGGCTGATTCCTATTAATCCTAGCCAAAGAATGAGTTAGGTTAAAATAAGTGTATGGTTGCATTAAAAACAAAACCAAACCAAAAAACTCACAGGATAAACCGCTTGCTTTCTACTTAACCGCATTTTTAGTTTTAAGGATTACAAATTGAAAGCTCTTCCTACGTTTCTAACAGGTAACAGTGTTACTTTAAAAAGCTCGTGCCAAAGTGGGCACTGGTTTTGCTCTCACTGCTGTTCTTTCTCTTGTTCTATACAGTTGGCACTAATGTAAAAAATGCATAGCTCCTCTAAATCTAACTTAACATGTAAAGGGTTAAAATGAGCGCCTGTTCATATTTTCTTTTCCTTAGAACAATATGTGATTATAATTAAGGCCACATCTGTATTTCTCAAGGGCTTTTTTTTTCCTCCGCAAACACCTGATCAACCCTACTGATTTGGAAAATAATTTATTAACCTTTGATCTATGTTTAAACTTCTCTAGAGCTATATTAGTTGTTCATGAACGTGGTATACCTAAAAGAGAGTTCCGTTTGGCTAATTAATTAAAAGTAAAATTATCAAGGTTAGCCTTATAGAATGCTCAATAGCCAATGCAAAACCTAAACAAAGGAGTTACATCTAGGTACAAACGTCAAATTGCCCTGGATGTTCTAATAAAAAAGTATAAAATATGCTCTGTTGGCAAACGATGCAAGTCAGAATAACGTTAAAGCAACCTGTCTTTTCTAAATGAAAAGACCCCCTGCACTGTACATCTTTCCTGTATACAACACATTTTAACTAAAGCTTTATTAAATGAATTGCAATAGCAACGGCTGCCATTTTATAGCTATATATACATGTATATATATATACACATACCCGTGTGTATATATGTATATATATATATGTATGAGATACTAATTTATTTAACACAACAGAGGCTTCTGCCATATGATACAGTTTACTGTACATAAGAAAAACTTTTAACACTGTACAATCACATAAAGGTCATATGCACTGTTGCAGTGCAAAAGTAGATTTAACTGTAGTCTTTACTGGCATAGTAATGGCTTTTTGTAATCCTACAAAATTGCATTCTCGTATTATGGGGCCTGAATGGTCTTCTAACTTCATTTGTTTTGCTTTCATTTTTTTCCTTTTTTTTTTCTTTTTGCCTTTTTTTTTAGTTTTTCATTTTTTTAAACTGCAGGGTTTGCCTTTGGTCCACAGTTAAAAGGACACACAGCAGTGGAGCGCTGACTGGATGCAGCAGAATACATGAAAAGGATTTTAAGTTATTGCAATTATAGTAAAAAAAGGCGGTGAGAGAGGAGGAGCGAATGCCCTTCTGTAAAGTAATCCTCAGGGTTTTTCTATGCATGAATCACTGCACGTTTCCTATATTTAAAGTATACGAAAAGCCTGAAGTAACCAAAACCTAATGTGGTGATAAACCAAAGAATAAGTGATTCAAGTAGTAAAGAGAATAAGGGGAGTCAGAGGAGACCAGACCCAGAAAGCAGAGAAGAGGAGGAGGAAGAGTTGTTACTAATAATCCTGATTCTTAAATAAAACAAAACAAAAAAACTCACCCCAAACAGAAAATAACCCCCAAACAAATAATAATAATAATAAAAAAACCCTCAAAAACAAAAAATAAGGAAAAGGAAAAAGGTTACATCCATGTTAGTCCCACAATATTACAGCTGCTCCTTGCAAAGGGAGTCCTAAAAAAGAAACAGTGAAGAGACTTGGTCTGATGCTCAGATGGAGGTGCCTCGGTCTGGGTCACTACCGATATTCAGCCCCAGAGTAGGAGTTGGTTGGTAAGGGATAGATGACATTGTTTTGATGGGGCTTCTGAAAAAGCCACCATTGGGTGCCCTGTGCCTAAAAGGGCCAGTTCGGTGCTCGGGCACGCTGCCGAAGGAGAAACCCGAAGCGGCTTTAGCAGACAGCGTGCGGCTCAGAGTCTGGATCTGTTCTGGTATGAAGGTCGTTGTGGTGATGTGAGTGTTTCTGAAGTCACTGATTTGCTCCAGTGCCTGACGCGTGGGTAAAGTGTCAATGTCCAGTGGGGTCAAGTCAATCGACGAGGTGGAGAACTGTTTATGGGGACTGTCGTCGTCTGTGCAGAGGCTGTTCACCCGCCTGTGGAGGTGCTCCAGGTCGATCTCCTTGTCGTCCTGGGGAATGAGAAAAACAAGAGGCACTGCTCACCGTCACCATTTGTGCTGGGTTGAAGCTTCACAGTACGATCCGAACTGCTCGGGGAGCCCAACGCACAATTAACTACAGCTGGCTGTTAGCTGACGACATCGCTGAACGTCACCAGCGAACACCCCCACCGCCTGAAGCTGGGTGGGCTAAGCCAAACCGGGGCAGACCCTTACACCACAGCTACCTTCAAACCCTGAATCCGAACAACACATCTCCAAGCGCTACCGCTCGGTTTCTGTCAGGAAAAGCCAGACTGGGAGCTAGGTGGGTTGGACTAGCAACAGGTGAATAACAGTAAACATTGTGCCATGAAAGCAAAGCATAATCTCAAAGGCCTGGGATGATACCAGTTCTTCAACTCCACAATGAGGACTAAGTCTGGATGTCAACATGGGAGGCTCTGAGGGATCAGGTTGCTGTCTTTGTCATCCTCTCAGGGCTTAAGGAAGCGCTAAAAACATCTCAGGTTGCTTTTTGCCTTTGTAATATAAATTGCGGCATAGAAAAGCTGAACTTCCAGATAAAAATCCAAGCGCTGGTGACTCACTGCCATCGCACAGAAAGGAGTACACCAGGCAATTTTAAGTTACAATGCCAAAAGAGGGATTCGCTCTCCCCTTACCCACAAAGAAGCAATTCCATCGATTCTGATGGAATTACGCTCTTGTGGGTGAGAAGAAGAGAAGGTGGCCTGGGGTATTTATTGTAATATATCATCCCTCCTCTCCCCTCTGTCTCTTTTCCTTCTTAAATCTCTCTTCCCAGAGAAGTCAGTTGAACAAGTCTGTCTGTTATAATTGAGAGTTTAAATGCACAGAAGTTAAAAGAAGAGGAGGCAATCTCGGGTGACACAACAAATCACCTGTATTGTACACAGGTATTTCTACTGAACTGCAAATTTAATTCAAAGCAGCATTAAGTTTACACGTACAGGGGTATTCCCTCAGTCTGGGTAGCGCAGCTCATTCAGAACAAAAATCGATTTCAACTAAACTTAAAATTTACCTTAATCTCTGTGAAATCTACTGGCTCTTCCAGGCCACTAGAAATATCTCACACTCTAGGACCTCACAGAGGATAATTAGGCAGCCGATAGATGCGCACTGATGACTTCCAGCCTTGATTACTGCAATTCAATGACTGGCTTGATCCAGAGCTCCCTGGATCAATGGCAAAACTCCTAGTATACCGAATGGGCTTGAGATCCCTCCTTTGTCTAGGAATGAAGTCAAGCACTCTGAAAAAGTCCACACCTAGAACAAACTGCAGGAGTTCATCTACTGAGCAAACCAGATCACCGAATATTTGCACTGGTACCATGCCGAACACAGAGCCTGACTGGAAGGAGACTGAGAGGCCAGCTTCCCTCCGGGATTTTGCCCTCCAAGGGCAGGGTCAGGGAGACAAAGTGGGGGAAAAGGGACAGGGAACAGGGCATCCGGGATCTCCCAGGGACTGGACAATCGCTGACCACAGAGGCTCTGGTTTGAGCTCATCACGGGAGGGAAAAAACGCAGTGCTCGTTTCTCGGACTTAGCTTTCTGTCTATAGTTTATTTACATGTGGACATAGACATGGATGCACATAACAACCACACAGGTGACACCAAAACCAAACGCATTCACCAAACGCTTTCTCCTAAAAACTTTGGAGCTGCAAACAGATGCAGGAGAACTGGGGCCACATCGGAAGCTAAAGAAATATACAGAGGCTCCGTCAGCACATGTGCAAGTCATGACTATGTCTCAGGGACAGTCCTAAATATTTTTCCTTTTTTTTTTTTTTTTTTTTTTTTTTGGTTGGGTTTTGGTTTTGGTTCTTTTGTTTGTTTGTTTGTTTTTAATTTTGAAAAAACATACAAACACTTTGTAATTTAAAATGGCAATCGGGAAAAGATTGGAATTTCATCACTTCTGAGCCTCTGTAAGTTACTCAAAATATTCCTCTTTCTTCTCTTACAGAGATGCATTTGGGGCTAGGGTCAGACCAGTGAAAATATGTAAGCGGTGATATTCTCCCATGCTTAGCCCACAACCCGATCTCCACCCAATCGATACACCAAAATGAGACCCACTCACAGTAAGATTGTGCATATCTCCATAATATGATCTTTCCTCTTCTCTCTTGTGTGATCAGTAGTGAAATATTCAGCAGTTTTCACATTTAAATTATCATCAGGCTTCAGAGTCAACATCCCATTGAGATTACTGGGGCGGTTCATACTTCTCTCAGAGCTACTGTTTAAGGCTGTCTGCAGACTCAGGCAGACATCATTGAATGGATTACTTCTGGTACGCGACCGAAATGTTATCTTCGCAACCATAAGACAATTTTTTTCAGTATAAATGCTTGCATTCTGGAGCACAAGATGGCAGCCACCAGGAAAAAGGGTTGGCTTGCTGACCACAAACTGGCCCAATCTGACCCCCGACTCTGGACTAGTGGCCTGGAAGAGCCAATGGATTTCATGGAAGCTAAAATGAATTTTAAGAAAGTTAGTTAAGATGTATTTCTTTGCTGAATGACCCCCACATCCAGGATAGTGGGGACATTCAGCACATACGTCCACGTTAAACTCAGTTTTGAGCCAAGCTTTTCGATTTAGCGTTGAGATGCAATTTTAAATGCTAAGCTAATGACCACGTAACAAAGATCAAGGAGGCCAAATTATACCATTTGTGGAAAGTATACACTTGAATTTCTCTGCATTTGAAAATTGAAACAGGAAATTTTATAGTTGTATAAAATATCCGTGTTGTTTGTTTCTTTTCCTTCGATGTTTATTTTCATGTTTTGGACCAGATAATTATGAAGTATGAAGTTCTGAAAGTTTGGGTAAACAACAATCAAGTAAATTTTAGGTTTTTAAAATAATTTACCAGTTGAAACGATATGGTTTCCATTCCTGAGAAACCCAATTTAAAGACTAGAGATTTTTTTTTTTTCCTTTTAATAATGGTCCGGTCCAGATCTTGAACAAAAAAAAAAAGCTTGGGAATTAAAACAGGCAAGAAAAGATTAAACGTATTCTAACATCAGTGCCAATGCTGTCTAATTAGGTAGTGTAATTAATCCTGCCTGATTACACAGCATTAGATTAGCAGGAATAAACACAATGGAGAAACTGCAGAGAAAGTGAGACCACTGCACACAAATTAATAGTAATACCCCACAAGCTACACAGATAGAGAAGCTATAATTAATAGTGCTACATTAAAGCTCATATTTAGGTTCAGCTTTGGGCATCGCTGCCAAGTACATTTTAATAACTTCTTTTTTTTCCTAATGTTTTTCTAGTGTTTTGTAGAGCTAAAGGCTTAATTATGAAGGTAAGAAATTTGTTGTAAGACCGCATAAGGCTCAGAAAGCTGGTAAAGTGACAGGTAGATTGCCATGGGAAGCAAAGCATTACACATGCAGGTGTAGAAGCAAACTGATCTCTGGTGTAAAATAACGTATCTCCCTGTGTTTTCCAGCCACAATTTCTGAAACAAGTCTGTAGTAGATTTCAGAAATAAGCCTGGCCTGAATCTGAAAAATCTAATGTACTCTTGCTTCCCTGGACTTCAGATTAAATAACGAGAACTGAAGTTCATGGCAGTCTCAAGAGGTTAACATTTCTGAAAATGGGGATAAGCTTATTTAAGAAGCTAACTGCTGATTAAAGGGCTAAACTTTGCAAATCTATTTTGAAAGACTCAGCCACTGGGCTTAGGGGATATATTTTTCAAGAAGAAGCCAAGAAACCTTTGAACTTGCTGGTGAGAACTAGCTCTCACCAATGGGAATAATGAACTAAATATTGATGTATTAATAATGTACTATTCTACAAGTAACAGTTGTGTTTTACTCAGAATAGTTGCATATTTATACATCATCAATATACATTTTTTAATTCAAGCTTTTCTAGAAAGAATAGCTAAAGAGATTTTGAGGAACAACATTTACCTTAAAAAATCAGGAAGCTAAGGAAATTTCTCTGAACTTGATTCCCCACCCTCTCTAATGCTATAAAGTCAAGGCAGCAATCTTTAGGGTGCATGAAAATTCCCCAGGAGAAATGGAGGGTCTAATACCTCTTTTGATGGAACCCGGGAGCCTTTCCTTTTATTCCACCACGTTTCCAACATTGCAATGAAACAGGATAGGACAATCCCAGCAGCGAGGATGCAGAAAACACCTGCAAAACTTTTTATGTCCAGGGCTCCTCCTTTCTGTTTGGTATCCACAGATGAGTAAAGATCACATTGACCGTTCTTCGGCCACCACTTATGCTTCAGTATGTCCATGTCGCCGTTCTGCTGCAGCTCCAAAATCCTTCAGGAGAAAGCACAGAGTCAGGGGGTTACAGTGGAGCAGTGGAGGTGGCACCTGTGAGCGCAAGGATGTAATCCAACTACTTGCAACCTTCCCATGGGTCTCGGAAAGCCAAGCAGCTGATGAATCCAGTTGGACTGATTTAGTCAGAAAAGAAAGCCAGAATATGGGGTTGCCTGTAAGACTGAGCAAATAGATATGTATGCTCCACTCTAGATACAGGAAAGCATATACGAGTCTCTCTTTCCTTCTTTTAAGACCCTTAATGAAAATGCTTTACTTAATATACTGTATTTTCTTAACTGGCTTTCGCTACAGATTATATCAGTTGACTTTTGTAGTGAATTAGGTATTTGACAATATATATTTTGCATTTTAATCGCTGGAGAAGAGACATTTCAATTAAAAAAAAAAAGGAAAATAGGAAAATACAGTTCAGCTGTACTGCAGGATACATGTTACCTTACTGTAAACTGATCTTTATCAGGTTAGCTACTTGCTGCTTTGGAAAGAGAGCAGAACTGTATTAGTTGCTGTCAGTAAAGACCTAAACTAAGCTTGCGCAATGGGAGCGTGTGACCTGCTGGTAAGCGATTTCCATAGGAAGGTTCTTTGCTGCGGAATTCACTTGTCCTTGCACCTACGTACCCAGCCCACCGCCAAAGATTTACTGGACAGTTTGCAAGGCCAACATATTTATCTAGACTTCTTATGGGATGAACAGTCCGAGGAATGAGCATTTTGCCTGGAAGATTTTCATATTTAGCTCATTTATTCCCGAGGAGAGTGTTTTTTAAAAAACATCTGGGAGTGTCTAGAGTAGCAGCTGGGTGCATCTGGTTACCCAAAATAAAAAATTCAACGATTACACTTAAAAAGAATAAAACAGGGGGAATGTTTTCCTTGATGTAATAAATTTGTTTTTCATTTCAGTGTTGGAAGGCAAACAATTACTTGTGCAATCATTTGACACAGCATGCAAAAAATCCTAGCGCACACAAACCAGCAGAAGTCTGGGATGTTGCTACCAGAGACTGTACTGCGTTGAAGGAGGAAGAAAAGCTGTCCTGCTGACTCAGGGCTACCGTAACAGCTCAATGCAGTGGTCTACCTCAACCTCAGAAAAATACAGCATTGTGAAAAGGACTTTGAATGCACCTTGGAAGCACAGGACAACTGCTCTGTACAGAGATCATTCAATCTCTAACGCCACTTGAACAGGGAGGCATGTCAATGAAGCCGCTAAACTTTCTGTGGCACATTCAAACAACCATATACTTACGCTGCGGTCCTACCAAGAATGGGAGACCTACCTTCCTACCTAGGAGTACGTCCCATGGCTGAGATCCCACCCTGTTCAGAGGGGAACTGCTTGTCCACCTCTGTGCTGTACCAAAGGGAACAGTGCCCTTAAGGAACAGACTGCAGGTGATACGCGTGGCTTTGGAGATGCCAGAATCACCTTGTTTGCATAGCTTTGTTTTTATAAGAAGTGGGACAAATTCTTTGCAATGCCTGCTGACAGTACATTGCTGAAGGTCCAGCCCTGGAGAATGGCAAACAAGGTCAGAGTTGCCTGGGCTATATTTTGAATTGTCCCAAACACAATGCCAACTTTGGGAAGCCCCATCCCGAAGCTTCCTGAGGAAGCAGGGATAAGTCAAGGGCAGGAGGACTCTACATTCTGTTGCAAGAGACAGAATAGTTGTTATGAGACATCCATGTTCAGAGGAGCTTTGGAGGCATGGGGACCATACACAGGATTGCTGTCATTGCTGCCTACAGCTGTCTATTGGGAGAATGTAGAGAAGCTGGAGCCAGACCCACTGACAGGAAGAGATGCAACTGGGACAAACTGGAACATGAGCAATTCTGCCTAGATAAAAGGAAAATGGGAGAGGTCAAAGACTGGAACAGAGAATTTGCGGCATCTCCATCCTTGGCAATACTCAATGGCCCACTGGGCAAGGCCCAGAGCAACCTGACCTAACTGGACCTGCTTTGAGCACAGGGCTGGGCTGGAGACCTCCCCAGGTTCTTTCCTGCCATAATTACTCCTCTGCGACTGCAAACACAGTCCATATGCTACACTCTACCATGGCATGCAGCGCTTACGGACATAACGCACCATTACTCCAGTTCTTACTGCCCTAGCGTCCTGCATTAGGACTCATGTGAGTATTTTGGCCCAAATATTCCACTCTGTCAGGTTAGCAGAAGCAGCAGATAGTTGGCATAAACAGAACCCTTTTGGTATAAGTTCTTGTGGAGTTACAGAAGATTAGTTTTCGGTGCCCAATCCAAACATTTGGCATATGTGTGTTTATATTTAGGAATTACTGTACTATCTACACAAGGCAGTAACAGAACATTGTGGGGCTTATTTCTTCCAGCAGCAGCTCTAATCCCTGAGCAGGGCTGTTTTCTCTCTTTTATTCAGCCAGTAATAGAACGAACCATCCAAGTGATTGCTCTATTCTCATTAATTAAATGATTCTTCACTTGTCAGTATAATTCCTGATTACACAAGACATCTTTTCAACAATAGGCATTTGCATAAAGACACTGAACTTTAGCTTGTTCCTTAACAGAGATTTATTCCTAATTGTACTCTTGCTAATTATTGGCAATTTTCTTTATGGATGTAACATATAAGTTCAATTATTTAAAGGCAAACATAAAAAAAAAAAAAAAAGCAGAAACCAGGGATAGTAATTGTATCCAATTGTAAAATGGAAAAGCTTGAGAAATGGAAAGCTTCTAAAGAAGCCTTGTAAAACTGCAGCTGACAACAGATGTTGAGAGATAAAATACATATCAAGAGAGATTATAAGAGCATGAATATCTAACTATATTAACTTCATACAGAGAAGAAGGGAGATCCTGCTTCTATTAGACTTAGTAAACACTTTGTTTCTGAATCCACCTGTTTGCAGAACTAAAATATATAATAGTTAACATTCGAAGAAGATTTAACACTACCAACCTGTTCCTAGTTAGGGCATTTCCTATTTTTGTAGCACATTTTCAGAAATGAAAATCGTCTTTTTTTTTTTTTTTTTTTTTTTTTTTTTTTTATATTTCCTTAAAAAAA